AATATTGACTCATGCTTCTTATGCCTACAAAAGCTCGATGCAAATGAAAATAACTGATTATCAACTAAAACTGACAGTGGATAAAGACAAAAACTGATTATAACATTGACTAGAATTCTATCTCTGGTTAAACGTTTTACAAATAAAAGTGTCGTTCAACAAATTTTTGTCATAATTCACTGCTTCACTCAGATTTGTTGATATTGCTACTTGAATGAGCATAATAAATAATTCCCCTTTTCGTCACATTTAACATGTACGAGATTTCGTAGCATAATATGTCCTCATAAGATATTGTTATTTGCTGTTAAGCGCTATAGGAATCGTTCCTCGAATTTTAGCGTTAAAAATCCTACCGCTGAGCCACCGGAGGCAACAGCACGTGTAGCAAAATCCTAAGACTTGTTTTTCTGCTGATGTCTTTATCACACACATATTAAAGTTCTAAACTACGTTAACATAGTTTCTGTTACTATTCATACGTACACGTGTGTATGTATGTATATATATATTTCACGATTCGCGATCAGTTCCGCAAAAACATGCTTCGCACTTTGGGGCAGTGGGTGCTGTTGACTGGCTATTTTTTCTCTAACATATCATTTATAAATTAGGGACAGCTATTCGCAGATAGCCCTCGTTCAGTTTTGCGCGAATTTCGAATGAAATCACAGTCTCTTACTCCCTCTCTCTCCATATATAGATTCTTTATGCCTGTTTCAAGAACACAATTTCTCGAGATCAAAGGTGCGCATACATATAAATATAACATATTTTATAAATTCAGCCTGTTGTTTCAAGAGTGGGAAATTTAAAGCGCAGCTACTGTATTACCACTTTTTATCATGGTCAACTTGCCGAGATTCGATTGTTTTAAAAATATTTTTTTTTATATTGTAAATACAAAAATCTTTTTTTTTTCCTATTTTCATCATCAAACTGCTAAACACTCTAAAACTACTTTTATTTTATCACTAATGGATGATTCCTGAAGAGTTTTTATACTTGTAAATTTGCTTGTCAGAGCCATCGGAGGGCGAAATATGAAGAAACAAACAAAAATTCTTTTCTACGGAAAATTTAGGACCAATCACCATTGCTTTTATTTCTTAAATCGAACATACACGCGTGTACCTCTTACACAAAACTGGTGTGGAACAACAACACCAAAACCAATTAGTAACTGTTTTATCCATCAGCCCTCTGTAGGTACTCTTTGTTTGTACATAAGTTCCACACCTCAATCATTATCAACAAGAAAACATTAAGAGTTCAGGATATATTTACTGAGATATATAGATAATACAATGGAGAACCTATCGATAACCGAAATCGAAATTATAATTAATTCATCACACCTTTATTTTTAAGCTGTATTCACACGAGTACTGAGTGGGTCTAACATAAAAGATGTCCGAAGTGTCCATCATTATTATCAACGCACTTGCAACGTCTATCGGAAACTGATATAAAATAGAACAGAAATAGTGTCCTTAGAATGTCTATCGAGGGAAGATTTCCCATGGACTATTCTCTACCATACAAATGGCAAAATAACTAGAAATAGTACCTAAACAGTCAATCAAGTCGGTATTGAAAAGATTACTTTGCTGCGTTAAATGAGTTAACTTGTGGTCTCGGTCGTTATCTCTAAGTGTTTTGTAAGTGCAGTATTTATTTTGTATTTTCTGCACAGTACCCTCACATTTTTTATTTCACCCAAATGGTATAATATAGATAGTTACTCTACTGTCTGTTAAGTAATGTTTCT